ATTTAGTATGTACTATCTGCCCTACATATAATAAAGTTATTAATAAAAGCTCTCAAATAAAACCAAGCTTAACATGTTCATTAAAAACTGTATCAAATTACTTACATAGCGATACTTAGTAGATGCTTTAGACCTGTGCCAAATCATTATTTACTACTAAGTGTTGTTACCTGTGGTCTTTCCTATTTTGTTTAATAACTAATTATCATTTTTTTTTTGTTTGCAGGTGTGTATATTGACTACTTATCTGCTAACATATTTGGTAGTGACTGTAAGATAGAATGTGACCCCAAACTTGGGTGACTGATCTTGAATTTGGGACTCTAGATGATTAAATTGAAGACTATATAAAATCCTGAACCTGTGTAGTTAAACATCAAAAGCTAAAGGCCTGTGTGGATAAAGCTGAAGTTGGAACTCTGAATCTTTGTGATTAACTATCAAAACCAAAAACCTTTGTGGATAGAAAAGTCATAGTAAATGCTAAAGTTTGAAATCTGTATGCTTGAAAGAAAAAGGTTGTAATTAGGTGTCAAATTTCAATTTGTGTTGAGGGTTAGGAATTATACTGTATGAATGTTGGTGGTTAAGTATATTACAAAACAAAAAAAAGAGAAAAGGCATTATTAGTAAAAGGAATAATAATAATAATAATAATAAAAGGAAGAAAAAAATAATAAAAAAAAATCAATAAAAAAAAAACAACTAATTACCTGAAGTTGGTGAACGAGAATGAAAAAAACTGTTTAATAATGCTGCTAAAAATAACAGACAAATTGGTAAAATACCTTGAGATAATACAGTATTAATGAATCCAATCCAAACTACATCTGTGTTATGAAAGTCAAAGACCAGAACATGCCAATCATTTTCACTCATATCAGCTCCAGAGAAAGAAAATGAATAATAATAAGTTTGAAGTAGGGTATATGAAACTTGGAGAAAAGTTGATGGTTGAAATAAATGCTATCATGTTCACTTGTACTATGTATATCATTGTAAAAGACACTTGGCTTATTCATATCTGTCTCAGAAAGATCACCTTTGTAATTAAAACCTGGATAATGAATATATAGAAGTACATTGTGTAGAATTTGATAATAAGAACTATGAAAGATTGAAACATAACAATGAAGATAAGATGGAATGAAAAACTAATAGTAATATGATGACAAAAAAGTTGGTAAAGATAAATAGACAATCAGCAAAGGCACTAATTAGTACCAGTTCAAGTATTAATCTAATAAGCATAGAGTATATGAAAAATAGAAGACTTACCTGAGAACATTTGAAAAAAGAATTAACCATTGGTCCTGTAGGTGTTGAAGTTATTAGATATATTCTGGTATTGATATTGTTGTATGTAGTGTTGGTATAAATTAACTATTTTACATTATATGAGATTTGGCTTCTGATGTCATCCTTGGAATGCTGTGGGTAATAAAAGTCCGATATCAGATCATAGAGGAAAATGAAAGGTATCACTATATAATTCGGTCTGGCCTTAAAAAAGCAATATTTGTGATCTTAGAAGAATTGAAAAAAAATGAAATAATAATAAGTGAAGTAAATGCAATGAATTATGAAGATCTAAAAAGTTATAGCCACAAAATCAATCATGTTGATGAAACTATTAAAAATGGTAATAGAGATGTCAGATCTATAAAATTTAATCAAAGAGATAAAACAAAAGTCAAAAATGTATCGAAAAACTCCAATAAAAAGAAAGTATTCAAATATCATCAAGAATCAGCTAGTCGCTATGACTGAAATGAAAATGAAATTGAAAATAAAAGGTTGAACATCAGATATCTATTTATTATCAGAAATCTGCTGATATAGAAATAATAGTATAGGCCATATTAATATACCTCTTGACCTTGAGTATAAATGAAATTGAAATTAACAAAGCAAGAAAAGCTATAGATAGAAGATGTAATATGACCTATGATATAATAAATGCATATTTTAGTAATAATGAAGACTTGAAATATGAAATTAATAAAGAGTATAATAGTCATTGGTTGGATAAATCAGAATTTGAGGTTAATCAAGTGCTAGCTACAAAGAATAGTATTGATCGTGAAAGTGGTCTTGTAAAGAATAAATATAAAGTTTTCCTTAGTTATTAAATACCCAAAGTAATAAATTACAAAATACATGATATTTTGGTTGCCTGCAGCATTATAGGTTTTTTTTTTGTGTCAAGTTTTTTGAGCATTTTGGTGATGAAATTCATTAAATATGTTTAGACTTTGAACTAGAATTAGAAAAAGTTAAATATCTTTTAAATTGTATATAAACATGTATAACAGTTATATGCAGAGTTAAAGAATATATAACAAGAGTGATTATATTAATTTCCTTTAGATTGCACATGAAAATATTTTTTGGATAGTTTTTTTGTATTGTTTTTTTTATTATTAGTCATGTAATTCTGTAGTCTTTTTTTTTGATAAGTTTTTAGTTTTAGTCTTATTCAGTGTCAGTATCTCATAGAATTTATATTAGTAGTAGTTGAAAAAAAAAATTTCTAGTACTATACCTTAAGAAGTACATGCGATTAGATAACCCAAAGGCTGACGTATTAGATTTTTTATAGATTATGAAAAATTAAGGTAGGGAGAATTGTTACTGGCAAAACTGTATAAACTTAGAATTAAGAAATATACAAAATGATACATGTGGAATGCACAAATCATTATGCAAAAAGCTATTATGCTGCGATATTTTAGGACTCATGATTTTTAACTAATGATTATATACAAGTAAACCTGTTTAAACTGGTCTGCAGTATTACTAGTAAAAATTAGATAAATAAAACACAAATCAGAAAACAAATCAAATATATATCAGATATAAATTAGATTCTGATTTGTTAGCATTCAGCTGCTACTCAGATATAATTCAGAATTTTATTCTAAATTATATCTGAGTGGCAGCCAAATGCCAACAAATCAGAATCTAATTTATATCTAATATATATCTAATTTGTTTTTTGATTTGTATCTTATTTATCTTATTTTTACTAGTGTATAGAAGCATTGAATAATGATTCTATAAAAGCCAAGCTCTTATCAAAGATTTCATTAAAGAATAAGATGCTTACCTGATTTAGTTGACAGCTATCAAGGTAATATTATCTTGTTGAGTAAGGTGTGTTGCTATGAAAGAGAAAAGCACATGATTCGATAGAAGAGTCAATGAGTGAATCAATAGACTTGATGGGTAAAGAATGATGATGGTGTAGAAGCCTTTATTTGACTTGCCTTCTTCTTGCTTTTTTTTTTTTTCTATTAAAGCTTCAATGAGAATAGTTGTGAGAAAGGGTTGGAAATTAAATTAGAAAAGGGTCAAATGGCTTGAATTTAATGATGGTTTAATAACAAGAGATAGAAAAAATGTTCAATCTTGTTCTTTTTCTTGTCCTGTAAAATAGTTATAAATAAAAGGTCGAATTTTTCTTGTAAATTCATGCAATTCAGTGTATACTATCTGCCCTATATATAATAAAGTTATTAATAAAAGCCCTCAAATAAAACCAAGCTTAACATATTTATTAAAAACTGTATGAATTATTTATATAATGATATTTAGTAAACGCTTTAGACTTGTACCAAATTGTTATCCACCTTACCTCTCTACTAAATATTGTTACCTGTGGTCTTCCTATTTTGTCTAATAACTAACTATTATTTTCTTTTTGTTTATAGGTGTGTGTTTTGACCACTTATCCACTAACAGTAAATATAGTTTTAGGTAGTTTTAAAAGCCTGCATTTCATAATATTGTGACATAAACTTTTACTAATCAAGGCTATTTTTAATTTATCATTAGTAGGAAATGCTTTTATTTCACTTATCTATACTAGTCGATAAAATATGATTTTTGAATAATAAAGTTTATTGTTTTTTAAAATTTTGTGTTTATTGGTTAATAATTTTAGATAATGTGCAAATAATAAACCATCTAAAATTTTTTATACAATAGATTTTTGCATCAAAATTTATCCAAATCTTATTGATTTTTATATCCAAATTTACTCAGATCTTATGATTGATTTTTGCACTAGTCTTATTATTGATTTTTAGTAGTAGTTTAGACTCTTTCACCACAAAGAATATTTTCTTAATGAAATTTATGATAAAAATTGATTTGTTTTTAGAATATTTTCAGAAACCTAACTGAATACATAAATTGTATTAACTATAGTTTTAGGTAGTTTTAATAACTTGTATTTTACAAAAACTGTGATATAGACTTTACTAATCTAAGTTATTTTTAATTTATTGCTAGTAGCAAATTCTTTTATTTTACTTATCCATACTCTTAAAAGACATTACACTTTCTTTAAGTATCTAATTTTTGGCATAGTATAAAATTTGACTCAATAGTTTTTAAACATTTCTTTTGTTGTAAATATATTATAGACTTTAACTAGATCAAGCATCTATATATAAATTTATAGATCTATCTGCTCACTAGTTTTAAATATAATTATATTTATTTAAAAGTTTATTGTTACTATTGTATTTAGTATTCTGATTGAGCTGATCTGAATAACTTATACTATAATATATTTTATTATACAGGTAGTAGTCATCCCTATAAAAAATTTTTGAAAAACATATTCTGACTTTCTCCAGACTATTGTTCTATTATTGATCTAAAAATTGCTTATTTTTTAGAAAAAAATATATATAAATTCTTGGTTATTCCTATAAAATCCTAATAAATTCTGAATAAAAATCAAGTTCTGGCTTCTAATTATAATGATATATAAAAAAATTAGAAGTCATATCTTATTCAAATTTGATTTGTACTTAAAAATTACTAGGATACTATAGAAATAATCAAAATCTGTATATTTTGTTATAAAATATGAGCACTTTTCAGAATGATAATAAAATGATAATTTGGAAAAACTAAGATATGTTTTTCAAAAAATTTTTATAGGTATAATGTATTTTTTATATGCAAGATGTGTAGACTATATAGTATATATAGAAATTAATTTAAATTTTATTTTATTACATAATTTTATTTATATATAAACTACAAATTTAATTAGCCAACAATATTAACAGTATTTCAAAAAATAGATTGTATAAGATAATTAATTATTGGGTAATCTTTTTACAAATACTAAATAGTTTATTACTATATTTAGATTCTTAATATGAGTTTAACAATTATATTATATTCTTTGCATAAGCATAATTATATTATATAGCTACATATCTGATTTTTACTTTAGATATATAAAATATTTTCAATTTTGTGAAATAATTAACACCTTTTATGCTTAGTAAAAATATAAATTTGTTTGTATGTATTAGATCATTAAAAAATTTTTTAGAATATAAAATTGTTTTACTAGCTAAAAAATTTTTATTAAAAATTTTTAAAAAAAATCTTTAAATCTGTTATTGGTCACTAATGTTTAGTGATATTATGAAGACTAATAATCTTAGTTTATATAACTATCAAAAAATTTTATATATAAAATTTTTACTAAGCATCTAGTTGTAAAGTAATAATATTCATAAAATTTTTTTTATAAAATTTCTTTAAAAAATTAAAATTTGAGTTGATGGTTATAAGAAACTAGTTAATAATATAAAACTAAAAATATATTTTTTTAGCTTTATTTATTTATCTATTGTAGTAAATTTTGAACTATTATATCATATATATATATATATATATAAGTATTATTAAGAAAAAACCTGTTATAGAAGTTTTAACTATATTTTGTATACAAGTTAATTATCTAAAAAGAATCTATTATTAGGTTTTCAAATATATTTTGTAACTTTTAAAAAGTCTGATCTGATATACTTAAAAATTAATTTTTTATTATTTTAGTTATATATTACAAAGTAATCAAATCAATTTTATTATTATTTATTATTTTTTAAACATTAAAAGGATAATATTAATTTGATAATACTTTATTTTATTAAATTAATATTTAATATAAAATTAATTAAAATTTTTAATTATTTTATCATAGCTATATATATTATAAAAATTAGTTTTAAAATATCTATTTTATTTTTATTAGAATAAATTGAAATTTTTTATATAAAAGAGCTTCTTATAATTTATATAGAGGAGGTCAAAAGTAGAAACCACCCAAATTATTTCTAAGTAAATTTTTTTCAGACTTTAAATTAAAATATCTCAACAACTATTAAACCAAACTTAACAAAATTTTTTTATTTTAATTCTATATAGTTATAAAATTAAAATAAAAAAATTTATTAGGTTTGGTTTTATTGTTGTCAAAATATTTTAATTAAAATTTTAAAAAATCTTATTAAAAATAATTTGGGTAGTTTCTACTTTTGATCTTCTATATTCAAAAAAGTAAAGTTTAAATATCACATAACAGGTAAATAATATATAGAAGTATGATTATATATGATCAAGCTTTTTTGTTTGTCTTCTAAAATAGCAAAACAAGAATATTTAATAGAATCTAAAGTGTTTAAAGTATAAATAACTAAATACTATACTTTTAGTAGATATATAGTGATATTCATGCCAAATAATATTTTAATCTATATTATCAATAGATGTTTTTTATAAAGGCATTAAATGTTTATTGTGAGACTAATATCATATTTTATTTTATCTTTTTTTATAATCTGCAATTGCTTAATAGTACAATTAGAAGAAAAGTATTTAGTAACAAGTAATAAATCAAGCCTAGTAGTTAATATTGATTTACATATTTTTTTAAGTATCAACAACCCTCCTTTTTAGCTTTTATTTTTTTTTTTTTTGAAATAATATCAGTTTACAGAGTTTGCATTAACAACTTATAGATTATCAAGTTTTAGATTTAGAAACATCTTCTATATTATCAGAAAACCCACATATACATGAAACAGAAATATCTATAATTATGAGTTATTAGAAATCAGAATAGTAAAACTTATAAAGAGCAGCATCTGGTTAGAGCCTCTGGACCATTACCTATTTTAGATTTAGAAATATTTTTTATATTATCAGAAAACTCACATATGCAAGAAACAGAATATTTATAATTTATGAGTCATTAGAAAATCAAAATAGTGAAACTTATAAAGAGCAGTATCTGGTTGAGGCTTCTAGACTATTACTTTACATTACTACACAAATTGTATTTGCTATTAATGATTTTTTTCTACCTGGTGAATTGCAAAGCATTATATTGCTTAATATAGCTATCAAAAAGGGTTTGTCACAATTAAAATATAGAATAAAACTGATAAAAATAGTTGCATAATAAATATTTATTACAAGTATGAGTTTGGTGATACATATTAATCTAAAAAAGTGTGAACTTGCAAAATCAATATAATAAGGGTATAAAAAAATTAACTTGTGGTTAGAAGCTCAATTTGTTTTTAGTAACAGATTTAGTTTATATTACTAGCTTACAGAATCACTACATGAAGCACCAACTTTTACTAGATATAATAATTTTTGCTTAAATTAATCACTGGTTTTTGATGAATGCTATGAAGATATTCACTATTTGGTAGTCAATAGTTGATATAATTTGCTAACAATCTGATTCTTTATATCTATTAAATACTCTGATCAACTATTTCTTATACATGATCTTGCTAATATTGTGGCTCAGCTGTGGCAAGAACATAATGTGAAAGAAAATAATGCATTTCAACTCTTAATACAACTTTATGAATACAAAAAAATAGATTTTAATTGGTATATTAAGCCTTTAATTGATCTTATTAGCAATCGACTTCATGTAATTTTTTGAATAAATCTGGGTTAAAGAGAAAGATAGTTTCAATTTTGTGATATAATTGTTTAGAACAATACAGCACAAACAAATTATTATAATTTTTCTTTATGTATTTTGTTTTAGTAGATAATCACAATAAAATTAGGATTGCTGCACTAGCTTTAATGTTTAATAAAACTATTAAATTATTTTAATAGGTTATATAGCAAATAGAAGAGGCAACTAGAATTCCACCAAGAGTCTTGATGACAAATAAAGGTTTTTCTATGAAGTATGTTATAGCAAATTACTTTTCTAATACCAAACATCTCCTTTGCTTATATCATATAAGTCAAAATATTTTAAAAAACTTTTGAAATAAGTTTGGTTACTAATATTCAAGCTTTATCAATAACTTTTATCTAATATGCAATAGCTTAAATGAAAGTATTTTTGAGATATGGTTTATTGCCTTTTTGGTTAAATATCTAACTATATCTTTATATTTGCAAAGATTATTCTTCATTAAGGAATTATAAGCATATGCCTATATGTTTAAAATTTTTACAAATAGAATGCAGTCAACTCAAAAAATCAAAGAACTCAATACCCATATTAAAATTGCTATAAACAGCATATCTATATTATTGCAAGTCATAGAAACTATTCATCAACATATTGAATATAAAAACTTTAATGAATGATTTAACTTATAGTCTCAAGACCAAATTACAGTTGAAGCTCCATAATTGCACTCTTTATAATTGTACATATATATAAATTCTCTATAAATAGACACCTGGCATTGTTTTAAATATATAAAAACATAGTAAAAATACCTTTTATAAATGCACACCCTTTCTAAATGAATATTTTTAAAAATTTGTCCTATAGTCCCAAGGGGATGCAATTATAGAGGTTCGACTATAATTACAACAATCATATTATATTACAACATGTTTTTCATAAATTGTCAAACAAATCAATAAATATTTAATCCAAGCTTAGCAGTAGAAAAACAAAAACAAATATTTCAATCTACTATATATAGAGCTCAAATATTTTCACTAAGTGATGATAATTTTAACAAACAAGTAATACAATATCATTTTTTTTTATATCCAAAAAGGATACCAGTTAGTGTACTTTATTTACCTTTATGAAGTTTATAGATTATTTTATTGATATAATTGCTTAATTATATTTTTAATAGATACAAGATTTTGATACTTTATTAAATTTGCAAGAATATTTATATAATCATGATTTTATTGAGAATGTATATAATATTTTACAATCATATTTATCAGATTTAATTGGTAAAAATAAATATTCAGATATTTAAGAAGTCTGAAAAGTCACATATTTAACTTTAGCTAAGTTAATCTATTATATTATATTATTTAAAGATGTGTGTCATTTATGTACTTGTCTTTTGTTGATTAGTCACAGGATTGTATATTAACATTTTTTTGTGTATTACTTGATTCAACTTTTGCAAGGTTTCATATACGACATATCAAACTAAAACACAGCTTATAGTTTTTTTTATATTTTGAGAAAATCATATTTAAAATTTTATATAACAATAACATTGATGATCTATTATTAGTATAACCTGTTGGATCAACATTAATTAGCTAATCACACAGAGGTATTTTTATGACTCTGCAGCAAAGATCAACAATCAGATTTCTGAATTCTAATTTTAGATCATGGCTAACTATATATGAGATTTAAAAAAGAAGGTATTAACAAAAATTTTATTATGTAAATCAATATTTTAAATATCAAATTATCTAGAAAAGTGGCTATTTTATACAACTGTATGGTTAACTCATTTTTGCAAAAAAATACTATAAACCATGTTTTAGTTTGATGCACCCCATATCATGTTGTTGCTTTTTCAATAGTGTAAAGACAAAATAACAAAATCTGAACATATACAAGAGCCAAGTCATAATGCTGAATTAGCTCCAATTATACATAATCTAAGTACTAAACAATTTCAAACTTGCTTTGAATTGACAATAATTAGAATAATATGCCTCAAAAACATGTAAAAAAAAGCTTTATTATTGCAAAACTATGAGCCTTGTCAAAAAAGCAATTATATTGCAAGGTGATAATAAAAATGATTATGAGTTAGATATTTTTTTAAAAAGTTATATTGAAAAAAAACACTTGAACCTAAAAAAAAAAACACAGAAAGGAGAATTAAGAATGACTAAAGAATATCAGATCTTAGCTATACAAGTTGATAACAAACTAGTTGCTATTAAAAATATTGCAGATTCTGCATATTATATTGAAAAGAAGCTCTATACAAAACTGTATCAAAGGAGAACAAGAGAACTATCAAACAAAGAAAAAATAAAAATCAAATCAAAAAGTTTGTAGATTATACCACGAGCCTGATCATTATTGAAGTATATATTCAAAAAAGCTAGTTTAAGCAACAAAAAATGTAGTAGTATTGTAGTTTGTAGTAGATTAG